ACATAGTAAATGTTCGAATTGGAAAAGACTATCTAAAGTAAAGTTGTGGTCTTTTGAGTTATTTTTCCAACGTACTTTGAATCACCTCAATCGGATATCGAGAGAAAAAGTTATTATAACAATACTAAAAGCTGTTCCGTGCAACCAAAGCTAATGCGAGCGCATAGTCTCCACATTGCTGATTCTTTCCTAAAAGTCAGCAACTAGGCGACACATCCAAGTGCCCAAGTGCCAATTTGACCAGATTTGTAGCGCTTGGGCACCAATCACAACTCCTATCACTGCACCGCATACAACTAGAGTTTTTCAAGTTTAACTCATCTTTTAAAAGCCCAATTTCAATCAAGCTCTTCCAAGGACTTCAAGAAGGCATAAATACCAATCTAGATATCACTGTTCAAGCACAATTCAACCGGCTAAGAAGGAGAAAATCAATCAAAAGATCAAGAAGAATTTCAAGAAGGGGGATTAATTCAAGCTTCAAAAGTATCTTTATTCTTCTTCCTCTTTATGTTATTAATCATGGTTTATAAAATTCTTTTTTCTACCATGAACTAAACTCTTCATCTAGGGCTTGATATAACCAAAATTTGAGTATATGATTTGATTTATTTTAGTTATTTTTATGAGAATTTCCAATTTCGTTTATTTGTGTCATTGGTTCAATGCTTTCAATTAATTGGTCACTAATTGAATAATTTGATGTTAGTTAATTTTGGCAATTGAGATAGAGGAAGTTAGGCACAATCACAACAATAAAACAACTTAGGAAATTATAGGCTTCAAGAGAAAGTATAATTCATTTGAAACATGTTCCACTTAAGAACCAACACTTGATATTATAGATTTTAATTCAGAATAGAGATATTGAAATTGAAATATATGAATAATTTTTACTCGACACTCAAGAGAGGGAGTAAAATTACATTAGGGTTCTTACTTATAAACTTTGAAAAAATGATTAGAAATAATTACATAATTGAGAATAATATTTGATAGTTAGTTGAAATCATAACCTAAGCTTTCTCATTTTGATTATACTTCTAACTTTCATTTATTTATTTATTCATCATCATATTCATCATTAGATTAGTTTAAAACTATTGATGTTATAATTCGATTTTCTAGATAAAATAAGAGTTATTCAATTACAGTATTTAATATATAATTGATATTCAATCCCTATGGATTCGACATCCGTACTTGATCTTATATTACAAAACTTTACACTGTATGCTCACTGTATATTTACGTTATAGAAAATGAGTAACAACAACATAACCAAAATTTATTTATGTAGCTAGAATCAATAATTAGATAACGATTTAGTTCTTTATTATAAGACTCGGAATCAGATCATATCAGGTAGTTCGATCCATTTTCTGATCCAGGTCAAGTGGTTCCAGATTAAAATCCCCACCCTTAATTTATGTAGTCATGTCACAATCCATATCACTCCTGAAAAAAAAAAAATTGGGCAGTACATAATATAGACTATCATAGAAATAAAAACTATTGGGGTGATTTTAGGATTTACAATCGTTGGGCATTCACAGAGATGTTGGGCTAATTAGTAATTATTAAAGTGGAAATTACATAATACCAGGAGTTTAAAGACTACAATTCAAAAATCAGGGCTGAAGATTCATCATTCAAAAATCAGGTATCAATATAATAAATCTCCAATTGACTAAATTAGGGCTAAGGTTTCTCTCTCTACAATCTACCTTTTCTCTCTCGTCTCACTCTATCTATTCTCCCTCTGTCCCTTATCTAACCATCCCACGGGGAGATGACTCAAACGAGGCGTCGCCACCAGAAGAAGTAACACAATGTTGCCATCTATCGTTGCCCGACATTGCACCTGTCGCCATGGAGAAAAAATTGGGGACTGGTTAGGGGTTTTTTGGTCGCCGGTAGAAGAGAAAATTTGGGGAGGGAGTTCGGTTTTTTTGGGTGATTTCATTCTCCTCAATTTGATCTACGTATCCGGAGCCGCTGTGTAGAGCTGTATTATCCTCTGTAGTGGGAAAATATGGTAGGGGGTTTTGGTGCAGTGGAGAGGTGGAGGTGGAGGTGGATGCGTACGACCAATTTAATTGTGTGCGGTGGATGGGTGGGTAGTGGAGACACTGGTCGGGGCTGTGCTGTGCGACGACGCTGGTCGACGATAAGTGTAA